GTCCCACAAACAGGAAACGTCTGGAAGCACCCGGAGGGACGACGCATCGGACACAGCCACAGAAACGCGTCCCAGGAAGCAGACGGGGTCCGAGGAGACTGGACCGGATCCACTGGCGTTGTACTACCTCTGCCGGCGGGCCCGAGATCAGGTGGGGAATGGGGGTACATCTGTGCGGGGCGCGTATGTGACCAGGTCTGGCAGAGTGTCGCTCCCCCCAGATCGTTTTCAATCCTAGGCCTCGGATGCTCTCGATGTGCATCACCAGTGTCTGAATCAGTTTGTATTTCCGGTCGCGTTCCGGTCGCGTAGTGTGTCGCGTTTCTTTGTTACTTGACCAAGTGGAAACGTTTCTTTTATGGGGGGAGGAGTGTTGGGATATTGTGACCGCGCACCGGCCGTGTGGGGCCGTGGAACAGGGCGGGGTCGGCGGCCCGGCCGTCCGGCCGGCGAGCCGCCTGACCGCCGCGCGGTCATCGCGCATGCGCTCTGTGCCGTGGTTATATAAGGGCGCGACCGTGACCAGACTGGGTCAGTCGGCGGGTCGCCGTGTCCGTGCTTGGTCTTCGGTCGCTGGAAGCACAATACACAGTGTCGTGGTATATGCAGCTTTACTTGGCCCTAACAAAAGATGTGACAAATACATGTTACGGATGTGACGAACACACGGGACGGATGTAACGAACATTCGTGACGTTGTTACGAGGATTCGTCACGGTTCGGCCTCAATATCGTCGAGACTACGCCAAATAATACTAGTGACGCCATACCTACGGCTTGAGATAACCCGTTATAGTGTGTTTACTACATACACCCGACCCCACCCGACGTCCCTGTAGATTGGACGTCGTACATGGTTTCAAAAATTCAAAGGACCCTAGATGCATAACACATTCGGATATCGACTGTTGTGCATCCTTCCCTGCCCAGAAAAGCACTGCGTTGTGATAGAAAAAGGCTTTGCTGGCATAGGCGGCGGAACGGGGAGGGCACCGGGGCACCGTGTCCCCCTTTGATTTTGGCATTTTAACATTAGCCCTATGGGCGTTGCATGGAAAGAATGGGACCAAAAGTCGGCAGTGCCCTCCCCCCTTAATTGAAGGTGTTCCGTCGCTACCGTTTGCTGGAAGCTGCTGGAAAACTTGGAGAAACATCACTATATTCCGCAGAATAGCTGCAGCTTCGTTGTTGTTAGATAGGAAAAGGGAAAAGGCATATGCAGAGACAGCACATTTGGACCAAGATAAGGCATATTCAGCCGATGCTACACCACACACAGATAGCAGCCAAATATTGCGATGCAATAAACAGAACATGGTGCGAATTTTTTTCCGAACATTCTGAGTCTCAAATAGATCAGTTTTGAAAGCACGACACAGCGCTGCTTGCTTTCAAAACAACGGTCCAATATTCATAATGGCTTGCAGCCAGTGAAACCGAATTATGTATTCCTGCAGAATGTCTGAAGAACAAAGACAAGGGATTTGAAATTCTTTTGGAACGCTCGACAACGCTTTTAACTGAATAAAGAAAGCATGCATCCGCACATTTTATATTGAGAAGGTGTATCCTTGAAACAGCAAACATTAAAGAAGATCTCATTCCTTGGAATATCAAACCATGATAAAGAAAAGACAGAGGCTAGCCGTTAACTGTGTGTAGTTATAAATAAATCTGCAATATGCAATAGTACCAAAAGCAATCGATCACTATGTAGTTGTGTCGGTATTATCTGCGACTTACGATTAGGTACGCATGCATAATGCTTATGAGCATATGGACGAATAGCTACGGCCTAGAAATCGGAGTTCAAAACGGGATATATGGATTACTTAATGTGTCTGCTGACTTTTGTTGAGGAATTAGATCATGGCCTGTACGAGGGGCGTTCAAGAAGTTCTCGGCCCGACCATGAAGGAGCAGAGATACGACGTCGACTTATTAGACCAAAAATGTTCATTTAGTCAAATAACCAGCGTTAAGACAAAAATATTTCGCGCAGCGCTTCGCTAGAGGCCCCTGGGTCTCCATAGCCAAGTGGGTTTTGGACGCATCTGGCACGTCCAAGACGGCTGCTTTTGTTTCCTTGCTGTCAGCGAAGTTGCCACTGCTAAGCAATTTTCTTATGTTGCGGAAGAGGTGACAACCTGAGCGTGCAAGGTACGGAGAAAAAGTGGCTGTGACAACAACTCGAAGCCACAGCTCACTGCTTCGCTGATCGTCACCCTGCTCATGTGTGCTGGTGCGTGGTCCTGGATCAGGCGCACACTTTTAGTCAGCTTCCCTAGTCTGTCCTTGATATCTGCTGCTCGCTACTGTTATCGAAGGGAGGTGTAGTATTCATAATTAATTGTGCGCCCCTGTTTTAGAAAGTTGACGAGCAGAGCCCCGCCAGCATCCCAAAATGCAACCACTGTCACCTTGCCGTCCGACTTAAACACGTCGCACACATTTGATGGCCTTTACTCAGTGTGCTTCCACTTGTGCAACTCGGTCACGCCCTTAGGGTCAACGTGTGACACCCTCAATTCCTCCACGGTAACAAGTAGTTCAATGAACTCTTTTGGATCTTCGATATAGGGGCCAAAATTTTCGCGTGACCCCTCCTTTCGAGTTTGCCTTTCCTCTGGAATCAGCAAACGGGGGATGCATCTTGCAGAGATCTTAAACATATAATACGCTGTCGAAGAATGGCTTTAACCCGCGCCCTGATGGGGGGGCCATTTTGCCCCCCCCCCCTGTGGTTTTTCTTAAATAGCGAGAAAACGGCGGCGCGCAGCGCCGCCAAATTTTGGGTACCTTACTGGGCATCAATTTAACACCTTCACACAAAATTTCAAGTCACAGGTCACCTCAGGTCAGGAGTTATTGAGGTCAAACTGAGGTCATGTTCGAGCAAAAATGAGCAAAAAACATGACATCTTGAAACGCTCACCAATTCTACAGTTAACAAGCAATTTTAAAGTTCTTTATGTGGGTGTGTAGAGAAAAGACGGCGCTACAAAACTGCTATCTCGGATTTTCGAAATTTTGGGATTTTGACCCCAAAAATAAAAAAATGATTTTTTTAGAAAAACTCAATTTTTAATTTTTTTTCGAATTTCGAAAAAAACGGAATATATGTGATAGTCCCTACGCTCTTCGATATACATACCAAATTTTAGATCGATACCTCTTTTTTTTGGCCAAGTTATAGCAAAAAAACTGTTAAAAATTGATGACGTCAAATTTTTGAACTCAATTTTTAGCAATTCTAGACCTGGTAGCGCAAAACGGAGACCACCATTGAACTCCCCGTGACGAGCTGCATCGAATCGATACCCATTTTATGCAAAAATATCAACTTTGAAATTTGACCTAATTTGACCTGACCTTGACCTGACCTTGACCTGACCTTGACCAAAACGTGACCTAAGCCGGCCCTAAAGTCTGTCTGACCCACATAATCGCATTTGTCATGTAAAATGGACCATAAAACATGTATCACACGACACTTTCATATTGTGACCCCCCAGTGACCTGACCTCTGTGACCTGACCTGGTATCAGTGACCTCAAATAGCAAAATATGTGTTTGAAGAACATTTTTCCACCGATGATTTTCAATGAAATGCATTTTACTCGATTTTACAACGCATTTCTTGAAGTGCCTGTAAACGGTGAAAATTCGACCTTTGACCTGACCTGTGACGTCATCGGTTTGACCGAGGTCAATGAAATTGGGTCACAAGGTAGTTCCCCGTTGGGGCTATCCAACACCGTTTACCGCTTGTCGCTATATTGCGTGGTTCTCGAGATCTGAGGGGGGGGGGCCAAAATGCCCCCCCCCCATCAGACCGCGTTGCTCGGCAGACCCCATCTGGGCGCGGGTTAAGGAACATGATAGACACCTCCGCTTCTGCTGCGTTGTTCCAGACCAGAACATTTGTCATTTTTCACAAAGAAGTGCTTATTTTTCATATTTTCTTGAGTCAATGCTGTTGATGGCTGGCCACTGCGGGGGTGACCATTAATGATCTGCTGACCAAAATTGAACAGAGATGCCCACTTTTTGACGATACTGTAAGAAAGACAAACCTCAACATGTGTTGGCACTAGCTTTTCGTGAATAACGTTTGGTGTATTTTTCTGCAATACATGAACCAAATCACTGTTCTCTTCTGGGCGTCGCCCATTCTGACCGGGAATGGCAAACTATGTTACGATTAATTAGCAGCCTGAACCAATTATAGGGCAGATTGGTTAATGGCTACGTAAGTGGACATCTCAATAACACATCATTGAACACACCGCGTTGCAGACCGAAATTCCAACTCCTTCATGGTTGGGCCGGGAACTTTTTGAACACCCCTCGTATGTCCGTAAAAAGCCGGTCTTTGACGACCGGAACACTTTGTTAACACATGCGAAATTCCCCGGCGCTATTTCGGACACTGCCAGCGGCTGCACAGGCCACCTGACAGAAGCTCTGGGCGAGCACAATTTTTCTTTGATCACTTTCATAAACTGTTATTCCACTAGATTGTGTATACAGTCAGTTCCTCGTCCCGTTTGGCTTGATCGCAGAGCTCCGGGCTCCACGATATTAGTTCAAGGAACTGAAGAGAGGTAATTTAATACAAGACTGCACATGTTGAAGGGAAACCTTATGAGGGCACAGTTTTCGAAATGCCGGCCAATTCAGATGAAAGCCACATCCGCTTCTTGGCTGCAGCTCTCTCCGATGAAAATGACCTCTTTGCTACTTTGATGCTAATAACAACTATTGGAATTTAGAACCATCGAGGATGAAATGACAAAAATAGGGTGACAATGGCAATGCAAAGTAGGAAATAAAAATCATTCGCAATGCTAAACAACCCAATGAGTTCACAGCACGAAGCCACAAACAAAAGCAGGAACCACGAAATGCAACTGGAAAAGGACACACCAAAAGACAAAAACTATCACCCTGCCTCGAGCGACGCCAGACTGCGGCGTCACACCACCAGGGCCACTCACCCGTCCCTTGCAGTAGCTCCTGATGTCGTGCTCGGAGACCGTGTCCGACCGGCGCAGGCGAATCCACACGGCCAGCTCCTCGCCCATCCGATCATCGGGCACTCCGAACGCCTGTGCAGAGCCAGATTTACGGTCAGGAGGCTGGCCCCGAGTGACTAGACACGAGCCAACCAAGCGGTGAATGGGCGATTGAGAACCTTGCCGTATCCGCCGCGCAAAACTGCTGGTTAAGGGCAAGACTTTGGGCACATGAGGGTAGTTAATTTTTGGGCCGTAAATTTGTTTCTACGCTGGATCCGAAAATCAATTGCTCTCGTGACCAGCGGCGCGAACCGCCGTCTGTAATTGAACTCTAATCGCCAGCCACCATGGTTGTTTGTCTTTTATCGTCGCGCCTCATGGAAGGCTGAATAATGTTGCCACGCTTTCAATATAAGCCTGTTTTGGCACCCAGCTCCCCGATCACAATTTATCGTCGATGTACTGAGTGCACAATGCCAGCCGTTCAACACGGCCTGGCCTGAATCAAGCCAGTGGATTCCCATAGAATACTGCCTTCTCAATTTCTGATCAGAATCGGAGCTTGAAATTGATACTTCTCGAGGCCTGATGGTCAGAATTGAAACAAAGTTATATAATGCTTCACTCACACACAGCATGAGCAGCTTACACCCACCACGGAAAATTAGCCGGCCAATGCGGTGGATGTCGCGATGAATCGAATGTCTAAGCAACATCAACAGCAGCAAGAGATTGTGTTTTGAAAGCTTATCATATACAAAAATGATATGGAAATACATGTGTAAAAATGTGTATGAAGGCAAGCTGCATTTTCAGCTATAGATTGGATAAGCATAAAACATAGCGCTTGCCTTGCAACCGTTCGAGTGGTATGAAATAGATATTGGACTGCTGACGGCTTGTCAATGGACCAAAAGTGCAAAAAAAATCTGAAGCCAATTTGCTTATCTATACAACACATTCACAGCACGATCAATGGTTTCTACAACACCAAGCCTGTCAGGCTCATATCAGGCTCAAAGTATAAATGGCTGCGCTGAAAGCATTGAGTGGTTCTTGTTCGTGCTTGTGGGATGTTACCCGGTCCGGAAAAAAACTGTATTAACCCTCGCCGGCACATGCCATTTTGCGTCCTTCGACGGTACAAGGGGGTTGGTACGACCCCCTTGCGTTTGGCCCCTGATGGAGCTAGAGCTTCGCGAAAAAAACGAGAGTGTTGCCCGTCACGAGAGGAAGCCGATGATACCCAATTTTAAGGTCCTAGGTCATCGGGTGACCTTCCAAGTCAGGTCAATGACCCGAAAACCGGGAAAATCGGGACCTGTGGCTGTTAGAAAGTCGTAAAGTGTGGCTGTTACGTGGTTTTCCGGGGTGCTGTTCACGAATATCGTGTTAGTTTTGATCAGAGATGATGTCTTTAAGCATTTAGACCAGGTCGGGTCAGGTCAGGTCAGGTCAACCAGTAGGGGTTGTGACGGGTATTCGTAATGCGTGTCAACCGCCTCTGACAGCTTCGTTACATGTTACGAAGGCACCAAAACTACTTCGTAAATGTTCAAATGGTTGCTAAATTCGAATTCAGCTCCAAAAACTAGCCTAGAAACATGTAAAACTCGAAAAAGTGAACCGAGGTCACCCGAGGTCACCAAAGGTCAATGACCTGACCTGACCTTCAGGTGACCTTGACACCCACCCTAATGCATGGGAGCAACATCAAATCACATGTTTGAACGTTTGAAACCACGAAAAGCTTGCAAACGCGCGGCTAATGCGAGCCGACATACGAGTACGCCGAATCGCGATTCCAGCCAAACATGGTCTCGGAAAAGAGGTCACAGGTCAAAGGTCATTTGGATCATGGTCATGAAATTTTCAGGGTAGGTGTATAATTGATCAATGCGAAAATACTGAAAGTTTCGTCGCGATCGGCTGCTTTTTACGCGAGTTATTTGCGAAAAACCTTAGAGGGGGGTTGCATCAACCCCCCCTGTGCCGGCGAGGGTTAAACGAAAAAAACACATCGAACCGAATAGAGGAACAATGCACTTAGGTTACTATTTGCGACCTCCGAAATACACTCACACTGATAGATAAAGACTACACGCCTATGGTTTGGCTCACACGGCTATTATTGTACTTGCATATGGTAAAAGAAGCGCCTCTTTGATTTATTTTCAGTGCCGTTATCTGTGTGCGTTGTCTATGTAGTTAGGCACAATGCATTATCTGGACGTTCCTGTCTTAGACATTTGCCACTTGAGTTGTTATGATTGAAGTACGTCTTCAAGCAGACGCGTATGTGAGAAATAATACATGAATAATAAACAAAAATGCCTCAACGCTAGCATGAGAAAAACGGAGCCAGGCACGGAAAGAAAGCATTTAGATCAATCGAATTTTAACCCTCGCCCGCACATGCCATTTTCCCATCCTAGAACGCACATGGGGGGGGGGGGGTGGTTGCCACCCCCCCGCGCCATTTCGTTCCTGTTGGAGATAGAGCTTAGCGGTAGAGACCAAAAAGATTCTTTGGGAAGAGACGAATCCAATGGTACCCAGTTTTACCTTCTCAGGTCAGTAATTGACCTTCCAGGTCAGGTCAAACTAAAAAATGTTGCTATTTTGGGTCACCGTTGGATATCAAGTGCGCTGCTTATCAAATACCGATGACGATGCTGTTTTCTGGTGCCAAGCCAGCTAGAACCTCCTTGTCACACTACCCGACCAGAATTTTGCTGTTGAGGTCATTTCAGGTCAAGTTAGGTCAAGGTCAATTATATGTGTTTGTATGTCTGTGTGTGTCTGTCTGTATACTAGGGTGCGTCAAAAAACAGATTTGTTCGATGGAATTTGAGCATTTTATTTTTCGGGTTACTTTTAGCATGACTATTAACTGTGTGGAGTTTGGTGTTTTTTCTCCTTCATTTACCACTGCCTCAAGACACTCCCGACAGGGGTGCAATTTCCCATTGACTTGCTAACGGCATAGCCAGTATCGTTTGCCACAGCCGGCTAGGAATCTAAAATATGATCCTGTACTGCCGGTAAAATGCCAATGATGCCGAAGTTGAGATTGCCAATCAATGCTACACGAATTGGAATAATGGTAATATGCTGGTAGCGAGTCACAAATCATGGTAAAGTTCGAGATTCTGCTGGTGCCGGTATTATGCTGACAAAGCTGTAGTGAATCGTTCTTACGTGTTCCTGTATCGTTATTTAGTTGTGGCATTTTTGGACCTTTTTCATCACTTTGGGCATCAATGCACCATTCTGTTTTACTTGTTTTCTATTAAATTTGCTTCGTAATCGCCACGCGATGTGTGGATCGGCCATGATCGTAAATAATACATACATACAAGGACTCTTTTGACTTATGCCTCTGAACACAGCAGAGTAACACCAAACACAGTAACACCAACATACCGAGCTACTGTGCAGACACCATATTCTCGAAGTTGTTTGCAGCCATGTCTTCAAAATGCTCTTCGGGGCGACTTCAGGACCGAGTTCGAAGATTTTCGTGGACTTATTCAGAACACGATGGCAACATATCAACCAGCAGGACTTTCGGCCTTGCGACAACCCCAAGGAAAAGGCTTGGAAAGCAGGCGCAGTCGTGTTCTGCGTGCGCGCTCTCCAGGCTGGCAAGTTCTGGCCACGGAACGACTACCGAGGATGCCTTCAGCTGTGTTCTCTTCCTCGGCGAATTTCCTCCCGGTGATGTGACGGGGGTCGATCACCACGCTCGTTGGATGTCGATGGTCATATGCAGTGATACACCCTTAAGATCTTCCTTTTCCGCCATTACCTCCAACTGCGTCCAAAATATCTTAAATCAGTCGAAGAATTTGCCACCTTCACTGCGCTTGTGTACGTTAAGCCCTGGACGGAGGCCTTTCTGCTGAATGAAGCGCTCACAAACGACCTTTCTCTCATTAAACGTCTTCAATTCTTCCAAGAAGGTTTTCCCTCGCCTGCACAGTGCACAATGTGCGCATGCCGCGCTGAAGGCTATCGGTCGCCATCGGTACGCAGCCCCAGGGCTAGCTCCTCTGATCTTGTTCTCTAATCACTCGCCTCAAAGAGACTCGTGATCCTCTTCGCCTTCAGGGCGGCATGCGCAGTCGAGGGAATCCTTCGCGGAAGGCTTGAAGACGTTTAATGAGAAGAGGAACGTTTGGGAGCGCTTCATGCAGTAGCTTGGCCAACGACACCGACGCCAGGTTCATTCAGCTTGTCCACCATGCTTTGTGGACAAACTGAATGATCCTGGCCGACACTGTGGACAAACTGAATGATCCTGGCGTCGGTGTCGGTGGGCCACCATGCCTCCGGCGATCAAATCCGTCGTTGGATATCGCTGGATGGACTACCATGGATAGGTTCGTCAATGCGTCTTCGCACTTCTTCGAAATACTCCATTTTCCTTGTCATTTTCTCACGGGACTCCTAGGACGAGACCTGGAGTTCTGGGATTAGGAGTGGACCACGACTACCAGGTGGCACGTGACACTGTCTAGGCCCTGAAGATCGTCAATAATACTGCAGAAAGGATACTGGCGCTCGTAATGACCTTCAACCGTAGAATAAGAAGTCAGAGCAGGGAAAACAGAAGCTGCTCCAGACAGTCAAGGAAGACCGGGAAGAGATTACCGTATGCGAAGTAGATGACCGTCTTGAAGAAGTGAAGGCATCGCATGGGTGAACCCAAAACATGTTTCAATGATTGTCCTCGCTTTCCCAATTGATGTCCGGAGCCTGCTCAAGAATTATAACATTTCAATATTTTCTGTTCAATTCTCAGAACGCCATAAGTTTTCGATATATCGAGCTTTTGGCCAATAAATGCATTGCCATGAGGCAGCACTTCCACTTGCGCGAGGACTGTTATTTTTTGTATGCGGCGTCTACTCAGTAAGTGGAACCGAAAAATGAGCATGCTCAAGATTTATCATCAACTTTTAGTTTCACCATATAATTGGTGACGCACACTGTATACTGATGTGTGCACCGATTGTTTTTGGGTCTATATTACATGAAATCATGATCTGAGAAGCTTGCACCAAAAATCCAGTCAAAAAACTTCA